CTACAGCTGCCTGAAGCCACCCAAGGTGGGCGAGGAAGGGCATGAGGGCTGCTCTTATGCTATATGCCCTGAAGGCAGGTATGGGCATCCAGGGTACCCTGCCCTGGTAACCTATGGCTATGGAGGAGCAGTTCCCAGTTACTGCCCAGCATATGGCCGGGTACCTCACAGTTGTGGATCCCCAGGTGAGAGCAGAGGGTACCCTAGCCCTGGTGCTCACTCACCGCGGGCTGGTTCTGTGTCCCCGGGGAGTCCACCCTACCTGCAATCCAGGAAGCTGGGTTATGAGATTCCTGCAGAGGATGGAAGGGACAAGTACCCACTGCCTGGGCACCTGGCCTCAACAGGAGGACCCTTGGCATCTACAGGTGAGGATAGTAGAGTGTCCAGGGCAGACGAGGGTTCTAAATGCTGCTGTAGGTGCCATGGGTGGGAGGGACCTGAGCCAGACAGAAAAGCAAGCTCCTGTTCACAGAGCCCCTCTCTCCATCTCAGAGTCACCTGAACTGTCCTGGAGGGATGGCTCCACTGGGCACAGCACGCTGCCTCGGACTCCCCAGTGCACTGCCTCTTCAGAGCTGTCTGGTCCCTCCACGCCCCTGCACACCAGCAGCCCAGTCCAGGGCAAAGAAAGGTACACAGAGGGCCAAGGGTACTTGGGCACTTTCTGTGGTGTCAGCAGCCCAAGGCAGGGGCTGTCTGACCATCTACATTTCCCCTGCAGCACCCGACAAGACACCAGGTCTTCCTCTTTGGCACCAACTCAGAGACTGGGTCCCAGCGAGGCCTTGCCCCCTGTTGTCCAGGGAGGCACTGAAAAGGCTCCTGAGCTGCTGGCCAGCAGCAAGCCTGAGCCACCAGACCTTAGCCCTTTCTCCCAGACCTCCCCACCCAGCTCACCCAATGGCTGGCCTCAGGAAAGGAGCCCAGGGAGTCATCCCAACAGTGCCAGTCCTCGGGGTCCTGTGCCAACCACCCTGCCTGGACTCCACCATGCTCCCTGGAGGGGCCCCCCAGACAGCCCAGACGGCTCCCCCCTTACTCCTGTGCCTACCCAAATGCCCTGGCTTGTGGCCAGCCCAGAACCACCCCAGAGCTCACCCACCCCTGCCTTCCCATTGGCTGCTTCCTATGATGCCAGTGGTCCCACTCAACCACCACTGCCTGAAAAACGCCACCTGCCTGGGTCTGGGCAGCAGCCATCACCACCAGCCAGAGCCACCAGTCAACACGTTACCTTTGCACCTCCTCTCCCAGATGTCACCCAACCCCCAGGTATAAGGGGGTTGTAGGACAACTGGATGTCCTTTAAAGAACCCCACCTCCCAGAGAGCCGTGGGGACCCCTGAGGTTCGAACTCAATCCCTTCCTCTCCTAGAGCACCCTTTACAAGAGAATCAAACCAATGTCAAGTTCGTCCAGGACACATCCAAGTTCTGGTACAAGCCGCACCTGTCCCGTGACCAAGGTACGAAGTCAGAAAAGGTAGTGTGCCCATCCCACCCCACCTGCAAGGCCTGCCTTGGCTTTAAGTCTCATCCTGACCGTTCCCTCTGTCTAAGCTCTTAGCGAAGTTGCTCACCAGCGACTCAGCTTTGGCCTCAGACTAGCTGTCCAAAGCCCTGTGACTCAAGGTCCCAGAGTTCCACCATCCACACAGCTGTCGGAGTGAGAGACTTGGGAACCTGCTAGTGGGGCTGTGGAGGCTGCCAGCCATCTCTAACTTTTGCCCTGCAGCCATCGCCCTGCTCAAAGACAAAGACCCTGGGGCCTTCCTGATCAGGGACAGCCATTCATTCCAAGGAGCCTATGGATTAGCCCTCAAGGTGGCTACACCCCCACCCAGCGCCCAGCCCTGGAAAGGTAGAGAATGCTCAAGCTGAGGGGGCAGGTGTGGCGAGGGGAGAAGCAGTAGAATGATGCACAGGACAGCTTCATGAAGGGAAGGGGCGAGGAAAGCAACTGAGATCCTGGAATCCAGTAAAGCTTCACTTTGACATCCCTCCCTCCACACAGGGGACCCCTCAGAGCAGCTGGTTCGCCATTTCCTCATTGAGACTGGGCCCAAAGGCGTGAAGATCAAGGGTTGTCCTACTGAGCCCTATTTTGGTGAGAAACGAGTCTGAGAGGGCTCTAGGGGGGCAGTTAAGGGAGAGGCCTCAAGAGGGCAGTAGAGAAAGCCAAGCTATCCATGTTTCCTTCAGGATGTGTTTTCCCTCCCCTTGCAGGCAGCCTCTCTGCCCTGGTCTCTCAACACTCCATCTCCCCCATCTCCCTGCCCTGCTGTCTGCGAATCCCCAGTAAAGGTGTGTAATGTCTCCTCAGTTCTCATCACCCCTACAGCCAAATACAAAAGGCCTCCTCCCACCCCTTCCATTGGGAGAGCTGAGGGAGTAGTCCTCCAGTCCTCTTGACCTTCCTTGGTGGCCCTCATATCCTCAGATCCTCTGGAAAAAGCCCCAGAGGCCCCAGTGCCTACGAACATGAGCACGGCAGCAGACCTCCTGCGGCAGGGAGCAGGTAAGGACCTCCCTCCCTCTCCCTGGTGCTCGAGAGGACACCGCAGGCTCCACTGATAGGATGGTGGGAGGTAGACCCACAAAGGTGGAGGAGCCCCATGTTGTCAGGAAGCAGGAAAGGGATCACAAGCTAAGCTTTTGGGGTTCACAATACAGGAGTCACAGCTGCCACAGATCCCTTGGCGTCTGGGACATGCTTTTCTAACTTGTCATCCAAGTGGTTCTGTGCATCCAAACAGCACTTGGCAGAGAAATGCACAGGATGATGGGATGAGAAGCTAAAGGGTGACAGAACCTGGTTCTGGCAAAGCCATGCTAGCTCATCAACCTACTAACTGTCTCTTTAGCCTGCAGTGTGCTCTACCTGACCTCCGTGGAGACAGAGTCACTGACTGGTCCTCAAGCTGTGGCCAAGGCCAGCTCTGCAGCTCTGAGCTGCAGCCCCAACCCAGTACCAGCCATTGTTCACTTCAAGGTTTCGGCTCAAGGCATCACACTGACAGACAACCAGAGAAAGTGAGCCTTAGAGTCCCAAGGAGGGGACTGGAGTTTTGCTTTCTTTTCATGTATGTGTGTGGTGTATGTGTACATACATGTCTGCATTATGTATGAAGGTGCCAGTTTGATAATTAAGAATCTTTCTGGTCCCTGGTTGTGGTCACACATGACTTTAATCCCAGCACTCAGGAGGTAGAGGCAGGTGGACCTGAGGCCAGCCTGGTCTATGGAGTGAATTCCAGGACAAGCAGGGCTACACAGAGAAACCTTGAAGAAAAAAAAAAAGAATCTTTTTGGGTCACTCTTCCACCTTATCGAAGCAAGGTCTCTCAAACCCAGAAATCAAAGACACAGCTAGTCTTGCTAGCTAGCTTGCTGCTGGGACTCTGTCTCCACTTTCTGAGGCTGAACTGCAGGTCCTGGGGACCCAAACTCAACTTCTAGCTTGTATGGCTACTCCAGGACTTTAACCTCTGGGCTACCTCCCCAGCCCAGAAACCTGGATTTATTTCTTTCTAAAAACTAATTTATTTACTTTTATTTTACGTGCACTGGTGTTTTTCTACATGCATGTCTGTGTGAGGATGTCAGATCCCCTGAACTGGAGTTACACAGAGCTGTGAGCTGCATGTGGGTGCTGGGAATTGAACCCAGAATCCTCTGGAGGAGCAGCCAGTGCTCTTAACCTCTGGGCCATCTCTACATCTTTGAAACCTGGATTTCTTTTTCTTTTTTTTCCTCCTTGGTTTTTCAAGGCAGAGTTTCTCTGTGTAGCCCTTACTGTCCTGGAACTCACTATGTAGACCAGGCTGGCCTTAAACTCACAGAGATCTACCTGCCTCTGCCTCCTGAGTGCTGGAATTAAAGGCATGTGCCACCATCAGTGGCAAACCTTGGATTTCTAAGTGTGACTTCCCTTCCCCAACCCACTCCTCATAGGCTCTTCTTTCGCCGCCATTACCCCGTGAACAGCATCACCTTCTCTAGCACTGACCCCCAGGACCGCAGGTGAGCCTTCCTCAGAGCCCTTTCCCAGACTGTGGCCCTGTCAGCCTCAGACCCAGCTTGCCCTTTAGGAGCTGTGCCCTGGGCTGTACTCCTTCAGGGCTCTCTCTTTACAGATGGACCAACCCCGATGGAACCACCTCCAAGTAAGTCTCCCTGCAAGCCCAACCCTGCCCTGGTAACAAGCCACCCCACATGGCCAGCATTATTCTCCTGTGAAAGGGAGGCAAGGGCCCATGCATGGCTTTGTCCCTTAGGATCTTTGGTTTTGTGGCCAAGAAGCCAGGAAGTCCCTGGGAAAATGTGTGTCACCTCTTTGCGGAGCTTGACCCAGACCAACCAGCAAGTGCCATCGTCACCTTCATCACCAAAGTTCTACTGGGCCAGAGAAAATGAAGGAAAGCTGAAAGCTCTGAGCCCACATCAGCACTGCGCTCTCCCAGCACCCACAGCTCTCACTGCCTTGGCCTGGACTCAGGCCTATGAAAGTGCAAGTGGTACCAGCCTGGGCCACTGTCCTTTTCTACCCTTGCCTGCTGAGCTAAGTGAGTGGGCTATGAGATGACCTGGCATGTGAGCAGATGGCAGAGGCAGGTGTGAGGGGTGAAGAGGTATCAATAGTGGAGGCCTGGTGGGGAATGACCCTGCCAGCTCCACCCAGCTGCAGGTTCCATCATGGAGGGAGGAAGAGAAGCGTGGGAACTTTCTGCCTCCCCCTCTGAACAGGAACCAGAGTGGGATCAAATACATAGAGGAAAAAAGAGAGTCTATTTTTGTGTAATAATAAAGAATTTCTATAAATTTTTGAGGAGTTGATTACTTCTTCATAGGAAGAAGAAAAACGCACATCTCCAAGAGACATCCCCTTGCTGGCCTGTGTGCCACAGTTGCCCTGGGGCCACCCACCCTCAGCTGTCTCTACCAACTCGGCCTGGCTCTCTGACTTTCCGGAAAGGAGTCCCTTTCTTTCTGTCCTGATAAATATGGAAACTCCGTCTTTATTGGGTGTATAAACATTTCTGGTCTGTACATACATTTCACACATCATAGTGCAGGGCCCGGAAGGAGGGGCAAAGGAGCCCCAGCAGCACAACAGCACCCCGCCCCCCAATTCTACCCACTGTGCAAACTGAGACCAAGAGCCCCTGAAATGGGGGGAGAAGATGGGGGAGTTGGTTGCGGGGTGGGGCAGGGGGGGTCTATGTAGACTCTAGAATCAAACACTGAAGCAAAAACAGTCAACTGGCACAAGCAGCAAGCTGGGCACAGAGTCAGGAAGTGGACATGGAAAGGGAGGTGAGGGAACAAGCTGCGGCCCTAAGCAACAGCCGCAACATAATACATGCCTAGTGCCTTAGCCCCATCTCGGGGAGCCAGGGCTAGCGGTGCCTTGAGGAAGAGTGCAGACAAGGAGACGGAAGCAAGGGCTACAGTCCCATGCCACCACACAGCCCCGCACTCACACATGTAGAAAGGGTAGTCTGTGTGGGGCAGGTAGGGAGCCAGGCTCAGGCTTTCTGTGGTGCCTGAGTGTTGGGGCGGGGCTGTCTCTCAATGGAGACCCTAGATGGAACTTAGGACAGCAGCCGGTGAAAGGAGAGATGGCCAAGACAGACCCCCTAGCCCAGCCAGGGGGAGACAGCAGCAACTGGCTCACATGAGGGAAGGGAATGAAGGTTTCAGGGGAACTATGGGTAAATAGGGACTGGCAGGCTGCCTCTACTTCACCCTCAGCCCAAACAGCAGGTAGGCTTACACCTCCCAGTTTCCACAGGGTACAGTGAGTAAAAGGAGATCTGGGTGCCCACTAACCAAAGCAAGGGGACATCAACACTGTTCTCTGCCCATTCCTATCACCAAAGGCTCAGGCCCAGGGACAGAAGGTCCAGCCTAACTGGGCCCTGAGCTGGTATGGGCAGGGTAATGTCCTCTCAGGGCCTGCTGGTGAGCAAATCCTGGGGGAAGACTGGAGGGAGGCTGCAGAAGGAGAAGGGGCAGATGTGCAGTGAAGCCTCCTCTAGCCACTTAAGGGATGCAGGTCAACTTTCACCTTCTCCCCACAACTGAGCATTCCAATGGTTGGAAAGAAGCCTCCAGAAGGCACAACAGCATCCTTCTTCCCTATGATCTTGCCATTCCGTGTGAAGAAAACCTGGTGGTGGAGGCAGAGAAGAGAAGGTGGACGCTGGTCTCTCCCCTGTGGATACTAGGCATGAAGCCCAACTTTGGGAGTCATTTGGGGTGATATTGGAAGCAACCACAAGAGGGCGGGTTGAGGCTGGAAAATAGGCTGGAACTATATAGCCTGGACTCTTGGAGCTACTGTGAGCCCTGGCAGCTCCAGACCATGGCTCCCCCTCCCACCCGCTCCCGATGGTCCTGTTTTCACTAGTGGTCTTCCCAGGACCCAGAGTGAGCCCAACCCTACTCACCACCACCTTCTTGCCCTCATGCTCCTGCTCTATCTCTTCCTCCTCTTCTTCTTCCTCCTCCTCCTCTTCCTCTTCACCTTCCTGGTGCAGGTACATGACATTTCGGACATTCCGGACAGCCCGGGCAGTCGGGGACAAGATCACCGTGTCACAACTGTCATCACTGTCCCCTAGGAGACAGGAAACATGAGCTCCTAGGTACCTACCGCCCACTGCCCTGAGCAGTCTGGCTGCTGCCCAACCTCACTCACCCTCACTGTCCAGAATGTAGTCCCGGGGGAACATGATTCCACAGCCCATAATGTCCCCTTTGTAACAGCGTGGCCCAAAGGGGTCCCCCACACCACTGCCATGGAAGATCTTCCCATCATCTGTTGGAGGGAGGGAAAGGACACATTGAAGGGACTGACTCTATGATCCTCAGGATGACAGAAAGGTCAAAGACAGGTGCAGGAAGGACGCTAGGTTTTTTAAAAAAGAAAACAATGTTCATTTGATTGAACTGGTCAGAAGAAAGGACAGGGTCCTAGGGTGGATGAGCAAGCTGGGAAGGGGGCCGGGGAGTCCAGGCGCCAAGGCTCAGTATTCTCAGGAAACCCTACAGGAAATCTGAGCGATCTTCAGGAAGGGCACAGGGAGCCAAGTCAGAGGCCTGCAGCGTTCACTCTGGCCCAGTCCTCCTGCCCTGTCCTCTGCCTCTGACTTTCAGGACTGAGAGAAAAAATAAGATGAAAGGAAAGTCTGAGCAGCCTAGAAAAAGGAAAAAGAGAAGCTCCACGTGAGTCTGCTGAATGTGGGACTCGGTGCCCCCCACCTCCCCAACCCCCACACCAGCAGCTTCGGCTCACCTGCATGGTACGCCACAGACCCTCTGCTCCAGCCTGGGTGCCTGTTCTTGGGATAATCCTACAGCAGGAAGACAAAAGGAAGTCTGTGACATCATCCATGATGAACGGGGACAGAAACAGAAGAAAGGGGCAGCTGACTCAGCAACTCAAATGGGCTGGCAGTCCCAAGGAGGACAGAAAGGGGCTCAGTTCAGGGCCAGACAAGGTGACACACTTAGGACACTGTGTCTTCTGTCACAAGGCCTGTCCTCTAAACAGACCCTTAGAACTACGCTCTGCCTCAGCTCACAACTTTCCTCCACAGGCCCCTTGTCCAGGTTTCCCAGAGCTTCCTGGACCCATCCCAACAGCCCCAAACTGACCCCACAGGGAGAAAGACAGCGCTTGCGCCCACCTTCCTGGCCAGCCCCAAGGCGATGTAGCATTTCTCTCCAGGGTCCACAATCTCCACCTCGAAGTAATGGCTACGGGTGCTGAGTGGGTGCCGGGCCTGAGCCAGCCCCACATCCACGATACTCTTTCCCTTCCCCAAATATTCCAGCAGCTGTGGAGTAAGAGCCAGAGGACAGAGGTCAGGTGGATACTGCCCTGAACACTGCATCAGTTTTCTGAGTCTGACAGAATCCCCTGGCTAAATGAAAAGGGATTCTAAAGGCAAAGTGGACTCTGAATTCTAGGCAGGCAGAGGACAAGGATGGCAGAAACAGGTGGTTAGTGTGAGTGTCTCAGGCTCCCACAGAGCCACTGTCTGGGAAGCTCACTGGGGTCTTTAGGCAGGAACATCCATTCCTTAAACAACCCAAGCCTGCCTTCCTGGAAGAGGGAGGGGAACAAGGGGTATGTAGGAGTTAAGAGCCAACCGCAGATACACGAGGGGAGGGGACAGGCTCAGAAGCCAATTCTGCACAGATGGGACTGATGCCGTTTCTCAAGACCTGCCCCATTTGGCCCTGAAATGAACACTCCTTTCTGGGTCAGGGAGGAGCTCAAAAGAGCCAAGAACCTGGAGATAACAACTCTACCCTTCCCTTTAAATGGGCAAAGGTGAAAAGAAACAAACGGCAGGTCTTCCAGGTCCCAACCCTCACTCAGGCTGGAGTTGGGTGTGAAGGTAGAAGGTGGATGAGACAGGTTCTGGGGCCCTTCAGTCCACATGGTTTTGCCTGCATACATCAGGGGAACAACCCCAATCTGGAAAGCTTTACCTACCAGATGTCATGGTAACAGTGGGGCTATGACTCAACCCCATCTCCTCTTTTAACAACCTAGCATCACCTAGGATTCCTTAATTCCCCTTTAACTAACCTAACTGCCTCTCAAAACTTTTCTTTTACTCTCTAGAAAGCACACTCCCTGGGCCTCCTCCGCTAATCCCTAGCAAACCTGAAGACAATGGCCTCACCACACTAACATCCTACACCAGCTTGAAGGTCTGGGGGCGTCTCCTGCAGAAGCCAACCCTACTCATCCCCCTTCAGAGTGGACAAGATCTCACTCTGCTCACCTCCAGATCCTCCAAGTCTACCCTCCAATACTCTACAGACAAGTGAGACAGATGGGGAAAAGCCAGAGGTGCGTGGGAGCCGCCAGGTCCACAACCAGACCCACCATGTATTCTGTCTGTAGCCATTAGAGTGTTCTCCGGCCTGGCTCTGCTCAGTATCTCTCCCTAGCCAAGAGAAGGGTCGTTCGGTGTTTATTAACCTTATCTATCAAGCAGCCTATGATCCACTCTCTCCACCCAATGCTGCAGAGCTGGATCAGAGACCCCACAGCCGCCTTTGACCCATGCTATCCAACTGGCCTCTATGTTGGAAACAGGGTGTTCTCTAGTTTCATGGCCAAAAGGCAACTGATCCAGATCCTGATCCTTGGGAAAAACCCGCCCAACCATTCCCTCTGCCTAAGCCCAAAGGAGGCTGCGGCTGCAGTTCTACTGACAGGGTGGGGATACTTCCTAAGGGCAAGAGGCCATAAGGATGACTTGCCCTGACATGGAACTTCACCCACACCCATGGGTTCCTGAAGAGCACTGGGGCAGTCGCTGACATTCCAGCCCTGAGCAAGAGTGGAACCATCCATCCTATCTCAGGGCAGTCATCCCAAACCAGAGGTTGTTCTCCTGCTCCCAGCAAGCCCTCCTGAGCCTTCAGCATACACAGCTTAGAGCAGGGAGTCACCTCCCTGGCAGATCTTTTCTGAGTACCATGTTGGGACTCTAGAGGTTTGGCTTCTAAAGCCTCAGTTGTCAGAATCTGTAGGTTTGATCCTTCAGTCTATGCCTTGATTGCCTCTTAGTTTGAAAGATGAAGTTCAAGCCCTACCTAGTATTACTTAGTTGCCACTAAGCTTGAACAACCTATATTCATTGTACATTCATATAAGAAAAAAAGCCTTGCCGGGCAGTGGTGGCACATGCCTTTAATCCCAGCACTCAGGAGGCAGAGACAGGCAGATCTCAGTGAGTTCGCGGCCAACCTGGTCTACAAAGTGAGTTCCAGGACAGCCAGGACTACAACACAGAGTAACCCTATCTTGGGGGAAAAAAAAAAAAGCAAAACAAAACCAAAAAGAAGAAAAAAAAAAAAAGGAAAAAAGCCTTAATGTTTTCATCAGTAAAATGGGGACAATACTACTTGTAGCTTCAAAAATAGTAGAGATAAGATGAAGTGATAAGGGCGGCAATGGAGCCCGCCACGCTCAATTGACGAAAACACACATTCTGTCAGGAAATGGGGACTGGTATAGTGTAACTACCAATCATAATGGACTTGACTTTTCAGCCTGTACCTCCCACTAGAGTAACAAACAACCCTTAGGCCAATGAGGATGATATTAGTAGTGCTGGGCATCAAACCCGGGACTGTGCACCATAGTCAAGAGTTCTACCCGAGACAGCTCCAGCCCCAGTTATCCTCCTGTGCATCGTAGCTGGGGGAGAGGGAACCCTTTCCATGAGAGCCTCACGCACACCACCCCCACTCATGCCTGTTAAAGGGGCTGCAGACCACCGAGAGCTGAGCTGAAGCTGCAGATCAGAACTCTGTCTACACTCTCTTGTTTCCACTCTCTCACTTCTGGCCAGAAGAGACTAATTCTTCCCAACAGGAGCAAGCGTGAAGGGCCCAGAAGTAGCTGAAACAGGAATCAAGAACAAGCCAGCCTCCTCTGGAGTTGGATCTAGGGAGGATCCTCTTCTTTCTGTACCAAAGCTGCAACTGTAAGGAGTATGTAAGAACCATGAACAGTACACAAAGACAAGATTAGTCTAATGAAAATGTACAGACAGCCAGCTCCTACAACCATCTCCAACACGACCTCACTTTGCTGGCCCCGGGGCAGCAGCAATCCTTCAACATCTTCAGCCCTCTAAGGCAAAGGAACCTAGGACTTCTTTAAAAGGAGGGAAAACTGAGGCTACAGACAGTAGGGAAAGAACTCACCACTGCCCGGCAGAACTCACTCAAAAAGAGCTACAACAGAAGCTAACCACTGAGAGGGCTCAGTGGTTAAAATCACTTGCTGTTCTTCCAAGAGACGAAGGTTAGGTTCCCAGCAACTACATGTTGATTTATAACCATCTGTAACTACAGTTCCAGGGGATCCATGCCCTCTTGTGATCTCCAAGGGCAGCAGGCATACACATGGTACAAAGATATACATGCAGGCAAAATACCAAGAAAGGTAGGCAGGCAGGTTGATTAAAACTGTAGCTCAGGTGGCAGTATTTGCCTAGCATTCATGAAGTCCTGAGGTCAATCCCCAGCCATCATTTAAAGCAGGTGTGCTGATAATACCAGCACTCAGGAGGTAGAGGCAGGAGGATTAGGTCAAGGTCAGCTTCAGCTATATGGCGGGTTCAAGGCCAGATTGGGTTAATGAGAGCACCGCCATCACCTGACCAACAGAGCATAGATGAGTGTGCTGCAGAGGGCCAGCAAGTCCCCTGTGTTAACACTGACTGGAAGCCGTCAAAATTAAAATCTTTTTCTCCCTTGTAGTACTAGGGATTAAATGAATTTAGGGCTTCATGCATGCAAGGCAAGTGTTTGACCACTGACCTACCTCAAAAATTCAAAATCTGAAGTACAGCCTGGTACAGTGACACATGCCTTTAATCCCAGCATTCAGGAGACTGAAGCTGGAGGATCCTTGTGAACTCAAAGCCATGCTGGTTTACATAGAGAGTTCCAGGCCAGACAAGGTTACAAAGTAAGGCCCTGTCTAAATAATAATAATAATAATAATATCTGAACTGAATGCACACAGTTCTCACATCATCACAATTGAAGAATCTTAAGTCGGGAGCTATCAGTATTAAACTGTCAAAAAGGTCACAGGAATAGATCAAGGAATGACTATCCGGGCCTACTTTCCCTATTCACTGGCTAGTTGACAATTTGAGCAAGTCCCTTCAGTTTTACTAGGACAGCTCTTCACAGAACAAGAGGATGTTTGAAAATGTAAGAAACATGCTGGGCTACCATAACCCTACCAATAACTTGTGTCTGGATGTTAGACACTAACTGTCCTGCACGTGAGGAAAGTGTCCTGGGCTGGCAAGACAGCTCAGCAGGGAAAGACACTAACTGGCAAGCCTGATGACCAAGTTGGGCCCAGGACCCACATGGTGGTAGAAGGAAATGATTCTTATAAATTAAGCTTTGACCTCCACATGCATGCCATGTTATGTGCACACATGCACACACACAAAAATGAATGAATGTTAAAAAAAAAAAAGAACTGTTCCAACTGAAGTACCACTTATGTCCTTCTGAGAGAAACTTTAGATTAGGTCAGACTGAGGCCTTCACAAACCTCCATGGTTCTGGAGCACCCTACTGAGAGTACCATCCATGCCTGAAGAAGGCCTTGGGCCCAAGGACAGGTCCCCAACAGCAAGGAATGTGGAAAATAAGGGTAAAGAATAAAAACGTAGTCTAGTCATCTTTAAAGGAATTAACTATCCTTCCAGGACAACGCAGCTCTGATTAGAAATACAGTAGATGGTACAGAAGAACAGAAGATGAAAGAAACCAGACAAGTTATCCTCATTTGAAAGATGGGATGGTTGGCAAACCTAAAAGGACACATGTCCTTCACTCATCCCTAGGGCTGAAGAAATGGCTAAGGGAGGAAAGGCCCTTGCTGCCAAGCCTGACCAACAAACTTCAATTCCTAGAACCCACATGACAGAGGGAGAGACCCATCCACGTTTGTCTTCTGACCTCCACATGCACACACACACACACACACACACACACAATAAATTAAATAATAAATGAGTAAAAGATACACCAAAGAACTAGAGAGAGAAAGAGACTGACTCATAGCCAGGCCTGGCAGCTCACGTCAGTAACCTCAGTACTCAGGAGGCTGAGGTAGGAAGATTACCAAAACTTTAAGGCCAGCCTGAGTTCCAGGGCAGACTGACAGTATGAGACTGTCTCAAAACAGACAAACAGACAGACAGACAGACAGCTTCCTGAGTCCACTGTGGGGGAGCCTATGCTCACGGTGCAGTGAACTTATTCTGCCAGCAGTCCTAAGCTGAGGTGTGAGGGCTTAAAGACAGACAAACTCTACAGCTACACTTAAGAGAAAGTTCCTGAGTGGACTGAGGACGCTGAGGGGAGGACAGAAGAAAGACTATTTATAATGTCTACAGGATTCCACCTCAATTAGAAAAGATGCCTGGGAGGGGCTGGGAGTGGAGTGGAGACAGGTCCAGGCAGAGGAAGGATGCCAGGAAAACATTTGAGGAGAGGTCATAGATGAGAGCTGGAACATGGCCTTGGCTCAGGCCCAAGTTCAACTCTGTGGATGTTGTTAAAATGATGGCAGAAAGGGAAACAAAGAAGCAATGAGTCAAGGGTGAGCATCTGAGGCCTTGGCTCACAACCACCTCAGCCCTCATACCCCGGGACCAGAGGGAAGCAGAACATCAGAACAGCAGGAGGGTGCACAGTCTCCCATGTTCTCTGAGCTCAGTCTACCTTGAGCTCCACAAGGAAAGGCCTTGCTCATTACCCACTTCCACCCCCCACTACTTCTGTTTTCCTCTCACAGGAAAATTTTAAAAAGCCTGCGTTGAGGTGAGAAAGCCAAAGGCCAGGCTGGGCGCTGGAAGGCAGCAGGAGAGGAATTTTAAGTGGGAGGATTGAGCATCTCACAAGAGGTCAGTTAGACTCCTGACTCGCATCCATTCACTCCCAACACAGCAAGAGGCACAGAGGGCAGGCTGCAAGACGGCCCAGGAAAGCTCAAGCCCCAAAGAGAGGCAACTGCAGGTCTGAAGAGAGGGGCTTGAAAGCTAGGAGGCTTCAGGTCCTCCCTGACATCTTCCATCTGTCTTGTCATCTTCTACAAAAAGCAAAGAAGAGATTAACACTTAAGTTTATTCAAGATCCCCAAAACTGGGCCTGTATGCAGGCCTGTAATCCCCACTTCTTGGAAGGTAGAGGTATGTGAATTTCAAGTTCAAGACCTGCCTGGGTTAAAGATTGAGTTCAGATACCAGCCAGAGCAGCTTAGTTAAGACCTTATCCTCCCCAAATAATAAAAGACCTAGAGATACACACAGTTCAGTGGGAAAGGACTTGTTTAGTATATGCAATGTTCTATGTTCAATACCCAGCACCACCACCACAACCAACAACAAAAACTCAACTGTTGTGGGACAATCTTTTTGTACACTGTGAAAACGTGTCTCTGTCAAGGCACCTTCTGACTGGTTTAGTAAAGAGCTGAACGGTCAACAGCTAGGCAGGGCAGGACGGGCAGAACACTTCCAGGAAGAGATAAGAACTCTAGGAAGGAATCAAGAGAAGTGGAAATTCTCCAACAAGATGCAGGCATACAGTACGGAGGAAAGGTAACAATTCACGTGGCAGAATGTAGATTAATATAAATTTAAGAGCTCATTGGGAACAAGCTTAAACTAAGGCCAAGCTTTCATAATTAATAAGTCTCTGTGTCATTATTCAGGAGAGATAGTCTGACTAAATCCAGTTCCTAGACTCTTCTCCCATATTTGTTCATCAGTTCTATGACCAGAGAGTTCAGTTGAGTTGAATCAAGCCAAAATGGAAGCATAAGAAGTGGGCTTTCAAATCAGTTCTCAAACCCTGAAGAAAGATAAACCTGTAAACCAGGGCTTCTACTTATTCTGGGAATCAACAACCAATGTGAGCTCCCAAATGAAAGGAAAAGAAGGAAGGGAATGACACTCAGAACACAGGTTTGGACTCCAAGGACCTTGCCAAGGTCTCAGGTTATTTTACCCAAACTTCCATTTTCCAAAGTTGCACAAAAGCCTCTCTACTAGGTACAGCAGCACAGGACTGAGGCTCAGAGGCCAAGTAACATTCCTGAGATATCTCAAGGAGAAGAAAAGAAAGAGCAAGGCAAAGTGACCCGCCTTTAATCCCAGCATTCAGGAGGCAGAGGCAAGGGGATCTCTGTGAGTTCCAGGCCAGCCTAGTTTACACAATGAGACCCTGTCTCAAAGAAAGAATGGTTGGGGGATGACACTGTTCTTCCTTCTCATTCTAAGCAATGTCTAAGCATGATACTGATGTCCACATGTGTTCTTCCCAGTACATTTACCCCCATTGCCTTTTACTTACGGTCCCACAGACTCTGACGTCATGCAGCCGGCCCCATTCATCTTCATAACTATCCACCATCATGACACTGTCATCCTCACGGCCCAGCTCAGCATTGAGGTGCAACCTCACCTCCTCACCCAGGGAATGCATACCAACTGCTGGGAAAAGCCCATCTGGGGACATGGGCATGATGGTGGAGCCCACCTGCAGCACAAGGAAAGAGGAGGAAGTTGCCATGTGGTTCACTTTCCCACAGCTCATCCAGTTCTCAAAAGGGCACTTCCAAGATGATACAACTAAGAATTATCACACACACACTCACAGACTGAAGAACAGAGGCCCAGAGTTTAACATTTGGTAAGTGCTCCTTGCCAAGCAAGTTCCATGGAGCTAGAAGTCAAGTCTCAGTCTCTGGACTTGCTGCCAACTCTGCAAACACCTGCATGGGTGCCACAACTACACCAATGCCCACCTGCTAGGGCTGCAAAGGAAACCAACCTCTTGTCTGGCTTGAGATGTGACCTTCCCCCAGCGGTGTGGGAGTAGGGAAGCAGAGGGAAAGAGTTGTATTTCTCTCTCTCTCTCTCTCTCTCTCTCTCTCTCTCTCTCTCTCTCTCACCAAAGCCACCACCTCTAAGAGAAAAGGGTTCAGGGAGTGAAAGAAAAAAAAATACATATTGCCCCAAATATTCAAGCCAATCAGGCCCTACAGCTGACACAGCACAGGTTTCCTGGAACTGCAGTTACAGACAGCTATGAGCTGCCATGTGGGGACTGAAAATTGAACCTGGGTCCTCTGGAAGAGCAGTCAGTGCTCTTAACCACTGAGCCATCTCTTTAGCCCCGCTTTTTACATTTTTATTGAGAATTTCATACATGCATATTATGAGATTTGATCAAATCCACCCCCCATTCTCTCCCCTCCAATTTTTCCCTACCGCCCCCACAACCATGTATCCCTCCTAATTTCCTGTACTATTTTTTTTTTAAAACCCACTGAGTCAACTTAGTGTTGCCTATACGTGCAAGGATGTAGAGTCATCTACTGGAACATGAGTAGCTTCCCAGGGCCACATCCCTAAAGAAAACATTTTTAAAGATAGTGCCTCAAGTAACCCAAACTGTCCTTGAACTCACACAAAGCAAGAATGACTTGGAACTCCTGATTCTCCTGCCTCCATCTCCTGAGTGCCACAGGCACCCTGTTTCTGGTGCTGGGAACTGCACCCAGAGCCTCGGGCATGCTAGGCAAACACACTACCTTGTTAGCTACAATCAAAAACTCTTCCTTCCTCCAAATCCTGTATCTCTGCCCTTGCTGGTTGTAGCTACTTGCCCCTCTAAGCCAAAGACCTGGATCACATCCCAGCTGCCCAGGGCAGGGAAGAGGCGACAGGGAACAAAGCCACCAGACTCTCCATGGTCACTCTCACAGATCCTCAGGCAGAGACAAGCCACTGAACCCTCTCAGACAGGGTTTCCCACTCACCCGTTTCCCATTTTTGGTGAAGAAGATCTGGGCAGTCTGCACATCAAAGGACACAGGCTCAATGCCACAGCCAATCCGGTCCCCAGAATTGCACTTTGAGCCAAACTGGCGCCCCTTGGCTCGGCCATTGTATAGCCTAGGAGAGAGTGGCACAAGACAGCCAACTGTGGTACCTGCTTCTACTCCACCTTCTCCACTCTTGATGGCATCCACCCGTGTCCTGGTATTCGTGTCACCCTCTCTCACCCACACCCATAAGGGTGCCTTACCTACCTAAGATTATGAAAAAAAACAAGATAGGAAGTAGTGGAGAGACCACTCAGAGGCAGGGCAGCTTATCCTCCACATCTAGACCTCAACTGCACAGCAAAAAAACCACTCACTTGCCATCATCAGCATGGTAGGCTACGGAGTCAGGCAACCAGCCAGGCTGGTGATCCAAGCTGTAGTACTGAGGGACCAGCCCCACAGCAATGGTGCCCCGAACACCGCTGTCCACAATGGATACCTGAAGGGGAGAGAGCAGAATACAGTTCACAGTAACAGACAACTCAATGAACTTCTGGGGGATAAAAGGTAGGTTTATGCTAAAAGAGACCCAGGGGTGAGAGGACAGGACCTGCATGAGAGAGCAGGGAAGGGCAGGGCCTCTCTCCTGTGATTATTTAGGCAACCATTCTTGAGCCTTGGCTGGGCATGATGGCTTACACCCTTAATCCTAGCACTCCAGAGGCAGAGACAGGTGATAGTTCCAGGCCAGTCTGGTGTACATGGAGAGACAGAGAGTTTCAGGCCAACATAGGGCGATCTTGTCTCAAAAAGGGAAAAAAAAGTAGGGGTGGAGCTGGAGAACTGGCTCAGCAGTTTTAGAGTCCATACTGATCAGAGTTTGGTCCCCATAATCCACATCAGGTAGTTCACAATCACCAGTAACCCCAGCTCTTTGCCAATCTGACACTTCTAGCTTCTAGCCTCTGTGGGCACTACATTCACATGCATACACCCACACATGGGCATTTATAATAATTATAACAACAACAATAATAATAAAGTTAGGCATAGAATCAGTTCTGGGCTTCTACTAGGGCAGCAGTTCTTAACCTGTGGGTCTTGACCTCTTAGGGGTCAAGTGAGTCTTTCACAGGGGTCACCAAAGAGCATCGGAAAACACAGATATTCATATTACAGTTCATAACAGTAGCAAAATTACAATTATAAAGTAGCAATGAAGATAATTTTATGGTCAAGGGTCACCACATCATGAGGAAATGTAATAAAGGGTTTCAGCATTGGGATGATTGAGAACCACTGTACTAGGGGCTAGGAAAGTGAGACATGGGTCAAAGTCTACGTAGGCCAAGGGACAGCAGAGCACAAGGACAAGGAAGGTGACACCCAAGGCACCTGTCTCTGAGACCACGAGTCAGGCTGTCCTTCACCCTTCTCCCAAAGGAACATTGACGGAAAATTTAAAAGGCCAGGTCATAGGTCCAGCAGAAGATCTTCTTGGAACATGACATATTCACTCCACATCAGCAACCCCATCACCACACCCCGGCTTCCCAACTTTGCCCATCTACTGCTTTATCACCTCAAAATAATTGCTGTCCTTGGTCAGGGGTCGAGATGCCACATAGCAGCCAACTTCACCAGAATTTCCATGGTAACTAAAGGAATACAGAAAAATTCTATGAGCAGGGAAGCCCAACCTTGTGAAACACAGAGAACTCATGGCAGACTTTAGAAAATTGGCACATAGCCAGGCATGGTGGTATACACCTTTATAATCCCAGCACTTGGGAGGCTGCAGGAGGAGAAGATCTGAGTTTGGGGCCAGTTTGGTCTATAGAGTGAGGTCTAGGGCAGCAGGACTATGCAGAGAAACCATGTTTTGGAAAAGAAAGATGGGGGTAAAAAGGAAGGACAGAGGGAGGGAGGAAGTAAGGGAGTGAGGAGAGAGGGAGGGAGGGAGAGAGGGAGGGAAGAAAGGAGGGAGGAAGGAAGGACTCTGTGTATGCACATACACAAGGTACTTAAGGTCACTCACCCTTCCCACTACTTCTAGTCAGGGTTCAACCCACACTAGATCAATACAGTCTAGTTTCTTCATTTTCAGGAGGTAAAAAACGTACAGCCTTCCTTAATTGTGCTTTAGGGGGTCCCACAGTCTTGTCTAACCTCAATCCCTTCCTCTTGTTGCAACTTCAGCCTTGCCTTCAGCCCTGTCCTCAGAGGAACCAGAGAACAACTGATTTCCTGCCTCTGTCAAAGGACTTCAGACTGGAAGAGTCTCTCCATTCTTATATTTCAGCTTTCTTTCCCTCAGGCTAAATAATGCTACTTCCTTCTCCCTTTAGATGACAACTATACAACAGGCAGGAAGGAGTCAGGGGATGTTTAAGACAAAAGAGAGAAAAATACAAACCAAAGTGCTAGAGAGTCACAGAGTGGGTGATTATGTCCCCAAAGAACTAGTGCTCCCCAGCCACTCCCTGCGGAACCCAGTCTTTGAAATGTAGGCAGAAGGGGACTCAGACCACACAGATCCACTGTCTTGGCAGATCTTGGCAGCCTCCTACACCTGCCGTGGGAACTTCCCAATCAGAACATGTCCCTGACAGAGCAGAAGAATGTGAGCCAAGATAGCTGAGGTGGCACATGCCTGGTGATCCCAGCTTACGGAAAACTAGTCTTAGGGCAGCCTGCCTGTCACAAAAAAAAAAAAAAAAATAGACCCACTGGTGAGATGGCTCAGTGGGTCCCACCTGATCTAAGAACACCGTCTCACATTGTCCTTCAACAGCTATCCCCAAACAGACACACTAAATCAACACCCAGGACAACCTGAGTGACCCAGTGACAAGAGGCAGAAAGTGGCACAGAAGCCACTGGGACGCCCCTCAGTGCAGCACACACAGTGCTCTCTCTAAAACACCTGTGCCCAGCTAAGACCTGGAAAAGGACTGACAAGGACAACGTGGAACCATTTCCCTACACTCACCTCAAAGTGTCACCATCCACAAGGATATGCTTGAACCTCTCCTGATACCGGAAGGCCCGGACCTCTCGAATCTCCCGAATCCTCCTTCGCCAATTCAGAAACCGGTAGTGCAAGTTGAGGTCATCCATCTTGTTCATGAGAACAAACCTAAGAGAACAGAAAAGACCAAGAAGGAAGTAGGCTCAGCATAGACTAGCTCAGCCTATTCAATCTTCAATGTGCAGAGTGTCCCAGACTTGAGACTAGATATCTAACTGCATCTCAATAACTCCAGTCTTTGTTTTGTTTTGTTTTTTGAGACAGGATTTACTCTGTAGCTTTGGAGCCTGTCCTGAAACTAACTCTTGTTAGTGAGGCTGGCCTCGAACTCACAGAGATCCACCTGCCTCTGCCTCCTGAGTGCTGGGATTAAAGGCGTGCACCACCAATAACTCCAGTCTTAGCCACTCAGTCAACGGGCACATATTGGACCTTTACCATGTGCACTGTCACCAAAGCTAGGAACAAAGCTATGTGCAAAATAGATGGGATCCACGTTCTCACAGAGTTTCCAATCTCATGGGCATGAGGAAGCATAGCAGGTAATAAGCACAAATGGCCATTTTAGCCAGTGGAAAACAGAGATGTAGCAGAGGTGGATGAGGACAGTCTCGGAAGTACTGCAGGGAAGCTGGAAGGGAAGGAGGCAGTATGAGAGTACAAGAAGAAGCATTCGAGGCAGAGGAAGTCAAAGCACAGGCCCTTGGGGAGAAAAAAAGTGTCTGGTAGAGAAAGACAGAAGGCGAATAAGACTAAGACAAGGCTAAGGACTATCCAGTCAGGAGTTAAATTTTATTTCAAGGATAATGAGAAACCTCTATGAAATTTTAAGCGAGAAACGGCATGATTTCAAAACATATCAAGTCTTGCTGAGTATGATGGTAATTGTCTTTAATCTGAGCAATTTTTAATTTTTTTCTATTATCTTTATGTGTATGGGTGTTTTCCTGCATGTATGTCTGTGCATACTGTATATGACTGGTGTCTTCAGAGACCAGAAGAGGGCATCAGATCCCCTGAAACTGGAATTGCAGACAGTTGTAAGCTGCCATGTGGGTGCTGGGAATTGAACCCTGGGACCTCTGGGAGAAAAGCCAGTGCTTTTTTATTCTGGGGGAGGGGGTCAAGACAGGGTTTCTCTGCGTAGTCCTCCCTGTCCTGGAACTCACACTGTAAACTGTGAGTTCGAGGCCAGCGTGATCTACAGCACAAGTTCCAGGACAGGCCCCAAAGCTACAGAGAAACCCTATCTCAAAAAAACCAACCAAACAAACAAACAAACAAAGAAACAAAAACTTATCAGATATTAACCCTCACTCCCTACTGCAGTGAGACAGCAGTTCAGGGGGTGACAGCCACCAAAATGGAAGCAGTGAAGGCGAAAAGGAATGGGACTCTCTTGGTATTTAGACAACCCTCAAGGCCAATAAATGAATGAATGAATAAAATTTTCCAGAGAGTCAAAAGTGGAAAAAGAATGGAGAAATCTTTTCTTCCCATCCCCAAACACCTGGCACGGTGCCCCACACACAGTAGGTGCTTAGCAAACCTAGGCTAAGCTCAGTTCGAAACCAGTGTGCACATCAGGACTGTTCTGAAGGAGCTGCAGACCACCACATGCTCCAGCCGAGGCGACACCTGTGGCACAGCACTAGGACTCCCCTTCTGGGCCCTGGGCCAGGACTTAAACCCACGTAGAAGCTGGAGCCCCAGACTTGAAGACTCGGATCTTCGAGAACGCGGTAGCCTCAGCCCCGACCAGCAGCACTCGCGCTGGGTCCTGGCGCTGCCTCAGCACCGTCGGTCACTCAGAGGAGACCCAGGGGCCACCCGGCCTTAACCTGTCAGTGCGGCTCCGCCCGGTCTCCACAGGCCCCGCACCGAGGGAGGGTGCGCGGCGGGAGGAACACTAGTGACCAGCGCCTCGGCCCCGCCCCTGAACCCGGAGCCGTCTTCCAGGACCCCCGCCTCGAGATCTGCAGGGACCGAGGCCTCCGGGACCCCGCCCCCGATCCCCGCCTACCGGGGCCGCCGCGTCCTCCTCATCCATAGGCCTCTCAGCTCCGCGCTGTAGCTCTTCGGCCGCCGCCACCACACACATCCGGGTCCCCGCCCTTCCTATGCTCCGCGAGGCCCGCCCTCCCACGCCGAATCTGACCAATCTGCAGCGGTCTCCATAGACAGACACTCACATTAGCCAATCGCAGGGCTCAAGCTGTGTGGGGCGCGGCCCGGTAAGCCGGGTACCTACACTCGGCAGCGTCTGAGGATCCCTGGTGTCGGGAGGGTGGGGGAGGCGACGTGGAGGCACGGACGCCTCCGTGGGCGGCAGGAGCTCCTGGAGGCGGTCAAGGGGCGGCTCCCACGGGGCGGAGCAGGTCACTGTGCCCGCGCAAGCGTCGCAGTATTAGAGCAAGAAGTGATGCTTTACTGGTGTGTCCTTTTGGTCCCGGTAACAGCCTTCGGGGTGGGGGACAGGGTTCCTAAAATGACCTCATTTTTACGCGTGAGGAACCAGAGGCCAAGCTCCACAGCGGCCGCGCTCGGCTGATTTATGTTTTCTTCTCTCCAGAGCGCCACTTTGCATCAAATTCGTTCATTCCAGGAAGGACGTTCCAGAACAGGAAAGAACTTCAGGTGCAAAAAACACAGTGAGATGGAACCCAGTGCTATTCGGGAACAGAGGGCTTGGTGGGAAAGTTAGGTCAGGTCAGAAGTTACTGGAAAGGACACTTAACCTTTATCTCGCATCTCCTATAAAGGTTGTAGTTGCCCTTGGGAGGAATTTGGAATCTTGGATGACTTTCATGTTTTGCTCCCGAGACTCACCCTCTTGTCTTTAGTACCCTGTGTCAGAAACATGAACAAACATATTCGTTTATTTACACTTCTGAATTTATTGAATATTAATAAATTAACAAGTATTATTACATTAGCAAGCACAGTTTTTTTTTTTTTACTTCAGTATTAATCACTAACTCTTAGGTCGCACTTTCCACATCATATGTATACATATGTAGGTTATGCTGTGGCGACAAAAGGGTTAAAGAAGCCACAGCATAATTCAAAAGTTCAGAGGCCTTGCTAGGGACAGAGAGAGCTAATAGCTTACTGAAAAGTTACCCCGCAGCCAGAGGACAGACCCAGCTAAAGGGCTGCAAGGGATGCAGCCTGGAAGACAGCTACAGCTGAGAGAACTGAAGCCCCGGGGACAGGCACAGACACAGGGTGGTCAGTGGGGTGGGGACCTTGTCATCACAGTGTTAAATGTCCTCCTCATTATGGGGTCCAGCTGAGGGTATTGCACCTTTCTAGGTCTGAGTATATTTGATAAGTTCAGCTTTTTGATACACCTACTGAACATATGTTCTCCATCTATTATACTTGGATACATTTAGACGGTGGGACTTTTCATTTTTTTAAAAGTCATTTATCTTATGTGCCTTGCCTGCGTATATATCCGTGCACCATACGTGAGAGTCACAGACAGTTGTGAGCTGCCGTGTGGATTCTAGGAATTGAACCTTGGTCCTCTAGAAGAGCAGTCAGTGCTCTTAACCACTGAGCCATCTCTCTCTCCAGTGCAACTTTTCACTGAGGAATAAATCATCAAGCTAGGTCTCATGAGGGGTGCTAATGGTGTGTGTGTGTGTGTGTGTGTGTGTGTGTGTGTGTGTGTAGAGCCATCTTCCTTCACACTCAGACTAGAGCCAAGGCAGACAAAGCCTGAAGCCACTGCTTTACACAATATAGAATAACTTAAAGGCAAGCACAGCCTAATCCCAATACCCTCTTCTGCAGCACTTAGTTTACTTATGTAGTTTTTAAAAGTCAGGTGTAGTGAAATGCACACTTACTTATTTGTTTATTGGACGTGGGTGGGGGTGCATACCTGGCATGGCCGATGTGTGTAGCTCAGAGGACAACCTGCAGGATTTGGTTCTTTCCTTCCACCAGGTGGGGACAGGGGTTGAACTGAGGTCTTCAGGTTTAGCAACAAACACCTTTCCCCTCTGAGTCATCTTACCAGACCTAGCACCTCATTTATTCAGATCAGTGTGTGTGTGTCATTGTGTTTCCTCTTCCTCAGAGCTCAGAATAATCCCTCTAGCATGAATAATAAAAACTCAGAGACAGATATTGGAACTCAACCTGAAGATCAGAAAAGCAAAAGCAGCCAGCCACTAGAGAGCTCTTCTTTGAAATCTTCAGACTTAAAAAAAATGAGTTACTGTCTCATCCCACCTTATATTCCTCTCTAGTGCTGGAATTAAAGGTGTGCACCACTACCACCACCCAGCCTCTGTGGCCAACTAGTGTGGCTGCTGAGATTCAACGCATGTGCTTGACTTGACTAGTGTGACTGTTTTGCACTGACCTTCAAGCAAGCTTTATTTATTAAAATACAAATAAAATATATTAATACATTTCCCCTTTTTTGTCTAAAATAAAAAAGGTTAGAACTAATATAAGAAAAACTATATATATATTAAGTTCAATATAATATAATATGTTATATAATATATTATATATATGCATTATATTATATAATTATATATCACACAGCATTATATATGATATAATATACAACATTATATAATATATAATATGTTATATATTATACAACATAATATATACAGTCAATAAAAGGATCAACAATGTCTAGTCCATTTGCATTTGACAAATTCAGAGAAAGTACTCCATTATTTATCTTATCTTACTGAGTCCAAAATCTTGTACTTAATTTGTTTTCTATCATAACTTGCTTTCTGCATCTGGTAAACAAGGAAAACTACAACTATAACTATCTAGTCTTCAACTCCCTCAGAGACCCAAGAAGGAAATAATTTTAACTGAATAAGCAGAAAGTATGAACAAGCAACTTCCAAAATTTGTGAGAAATGATAAAAACAGCTGACTGCCTGGACAGTCATTCAAAGTTCCTCTGCAACATTGGGGCATCCACTTTGAGCCCACATCCTAGAATGCCTGACAGACGTTTCTATGAAGCAGGGTTTTTGAAGGACTGTCCCACCTTGTGTGGGCAAGGTTTGGAAGTCACTCTCCTTTGTGTCCCACTTGTCCCATTAGGACAGCACACTGTGAGC